TCTATACCTGTGTTTCCAGAGTCATAAAGTTCAAAAATCTTTCATATCTGTTTCTCCATGTAAAATTTGACATAATGTAGCATATTTTCCTACTTGTTTTAAAAGTCATTATTTTAAAGGATTTCCACCCACTGCTAGATATCATCTCACAACTTCTCCTCATTGTCTTCCTATCTTTCTAATTGTTATATTTCTTTCTTTCTTTTCCCTATAGCTTTACCCCATTAACCAGATGAATTCCCATTTTACCCTTGAGTTTTTCACCCTTCAGCTACGTACAGATTTTCAGTACATTCCATTTCAGCAGTTACTGAGCAAGGCTGCATAGTACCTAATTGTACCTATATGTCGTGGGTGTACACAGGCAAATGCTTCAATTGCTTTATCAAACAAATTACAGGTGCGAACTGTACTTGCAACATTGTAGACAAAGAAATAAAGGGTCTATTAAGCTGTTGACCTCCTATAGTTAACACGTTACCCCATGCACCTGAAAATAGAGAACCTAAAAACATGGAATAATTTGACAATGTTCAACCTTGTGCATGGGTCAAGTGATAAGTGACAGATGGTATAAGAAAAACTGAACATTTGTTTTCCTAATTTCAAGCTTAGGATATGTGAAGTGTGAATAAAGCATAGAATACCATGACTTGATCTATTTTCAGTGAAGATCCAGAAAGTGCTGACTTCTCGCCCTTATTTCTAGAATGATTACATTTGTTATGTTTCTCTATCCTTCTTTCTCTCCATTCACAAATAATCTTTTCAACTTTAGCCTATACTGGTGTGAAACCTAAGTAAGAATAAAAGATTGCTTTAATCATGAGCTGTTTCCTTGAAAGATAGACTACCGAGGTAGGATGGAGGGAGCTGAATTCAGTATTGCCGGGGCTGTGTATAAGCCTTCAATCAGACCTATGAATATTGGAGAAGTCACTGGAGTTACACCTGGCTCTAAACATCTTCCACTGAGCACAGTTTGGTACCCAGACCTTTATGTAGGCAGGTTGTTTAATGGACTAAGTCAAAATGTTGATTGACATCATGACACTGAGAGCACTACAGTAAAGTGGTCTATCTCTTTCCTGCCTACTATATGGTATCTTTAAAGTTTACATTCCGAAGCAGAAGTCTGAGAAACACCTTGGAACACCATCCAGGCAGATTTAAACCTGAATATGCGGTAAATACATAGAGAGATTCCTCTCTGTTCAGGGATTGACCACCCAATCAAGTTTTTACCTTGCTGAATGAGTCCAAAATATCTTATTTCCCAAAAGTGACATTCTTTGTTCACATTATCTCTACAAACAAGAGATGAAATCTCTAAAGTGAGAATTCTACACTATTCTCAGCCTGAGGGGTATTATACCTCTGTAGGGCGCTCTGCTAAACGGCAAACCATGAGGCACCCTGAGGTGTGCTTTTCTGAAGCTGAGTGTCTCTGTGCAGTCAGTGATAAGAGCTTTGAGTGCAGAAGAGAGTGCAAGAGAAAGTGTGCCTTTAAAATGAAAGAGTATAGATAGAGGGAACTTAGGATTGTGCTCTTTTCCAGGACCTCGTCTGTCTTTTCACCAGTAGCCGTCCGAGGCAAAATGTGTTTCAATTCCATGGAAGGGGGCTGAAAGGTTGAGACATTCCCTTCTCAGACGTATCCCCAAGGCTACAGTCAGACACTTATTTCCCCACTACTCTTCCAGACTAATGAATTTTGCATTCCTGGCTACACAACAGCCCAGCCTCAGGAGGAGGAACAGTCAGTGGTCTCATTCGGATTATTCTTGACACGGTGGTTAGGTCACTCTCTCCAGTTATAGGAGAGGTGGATTCAGTCCCCTGTAAGGTGATCGGAGCCAGGAATGCAAACGTCTCATTTCCTCAGTGAGTGCTCAAACCACTAGGCTATTATGCATAAGATAGTGTCACCTTTACTAGATATTTTCCTCAGAAGAAGGCTAAACGCTCTGGATTCTGAGTGGATGGAAGGACCTAACATTTTCTATTAATTTTCTACACTCTCGGTGGAAAGATAGACACTTATAATAGGAATGGATTGCCCTCTGCATATATTCAGAGGTGCTCTATCTTTCTCCATTGATTTAGCAACTGCAGTAGTTGGACTAATTCATTAGCCCCCTTCTAGGGCCAAACACATTTTTGTGCATCAATAGCTAAATTAATCACCTAAATTAAATGTATGGAATTATATCCAGGGAAATTAAATCTCACCTAAGGTGTGGGGAGAGTGACATTTGAGCTTATTCTACTAGAAAAAGCATAGGCAAGACCTGTGCTGAGACATGTGAACAGAGCTGTATCTCTTTTGGCCCTGAGCAATACTGAGCTCCTCAAACTTGTTTTGCCTGGGTCATGATAGCTCAGGGATCCCCGCACCATAGTGCGTTGTGTGAGAGGCCTGAGAATAACATTTGTCAACTTGATACCAAGAACTAAGCATCTAAATCCATATTTATGTATGCAAGAAGTAATGAGTTATTCAGAGGCAAAGGGCAGGCACAGCCCGTGTCAACTTAATGAATATTTGGGGTACAAATGACCTCTGAAAATCAGGCCATTTATTTTGACACCTAAAAATAGATTCAGATATTTAATTTTACATATTCAGGTTGGGAAATTTTGGCTAGAGAGTAAATTAATTGCCTAAGGTCGCGCAGCAAGTCAATGTATAATGAGAAAGTAATAATGAGCAAGGAAAAAAAGGTATTTTTAATCTCTGTGGATTTCTTGAATCCCCAAATGCTTTTCATAGAACTAAAAGTCTTCTTGACTATAACTCTATTTTTTTTTCTTAATTGTGGCTTAACATTCTTATTGAAAATATATTTTTGTTATAAAAAAGCAATATTTTTCTCCATGTTTAGCCCTGATTACTGGTATCTTCTGATTGCTATGAAAACAAAAGGTTCAGTCAAATGTTTAGCAGCAGATATTTTGTTGCATAGGTAGTTAATGAATGAGATATTTGATTACAAAGGGATAAGTAACCTCTCTGTAGCCTGCAATTAACATTTAACTTGATACGGCCAATGAGCCAAATGAAGGGAGAGTAAACTGAATAAAAAGGATCTTTCTCTCGTTAGAGGTTCATCATACACATATGCTAGCAAAGCACCCCTGTTGTGATTGCTGATTTTGTTTGCAGATTCATATAAAGCTAAGCTTTCTTTTGGGAAAAAAAAAAAAGGACCCACTTGCTCTCTGGAGAAAAAGAATATTTTAAACCATTCAGTTTTCAGGAGTGTGAAGACAATTTATAATAGTCAAGTGCATTAATAGGCAGTATCGGTTCCTCATGAAGTTAGTTACTCAGTTCCTGTTAAAATCTTGTGAGACTACAGTGCCTAATTCCCTCACTTACTTTCTAGTTTTAACGAATTCTTGCTTACACACAGACATAGACCGAAGCAGAATGGTATCTGGCATATCATTTTCATGCAAACTTAAGGTAAACCCTTAGCAATATACTCTCACTCAGAATATGGAAAGTATCTGCCTAAAGCTGTTATGTAATGAAAAGTCAGCTGCTCTATGCCTTTGTCCCAATGCACAAAACTTCCAAAGCTGTTTCTGCTAAACATAGAAATAACAAAGTGAGAGTGGTCATCATGTGAGGGTTTGAAGCTTGGGAAATACAGGTTGAATTTCTTTCACTGATAGCAAGTTCCTGTGTTACCTTGCCCATATCATCTATGTCATGGTATTGAAGAACACACACATTCCTAAGTTGAGAGAGAAATTTGAGTTTGCAAGATAAACAGCTTGGTTTTAAAGTTGATTTTTTGTGCCATTAACACAGTTTTAAGGGAAAATGAAAAAAAATCAAAATTAATACTTTCATGAAAACTTATCTGACAGTATTGGGCAAATGAAGAATAATATTTGATGTAATTTTGTTAATCAGAAATTTATAAATACCTTCTTCTCTAGTCCATCTCTATAATACTTTACCTTTCTCTACATTTCCTCACTAAGTCATCCTTTTCAAAAACTGCTTCTTCTTTGTTACAGTACGCCCCAGGATGTATCCCAGTGCTAGGAAGCAATTGGGAAGATGGTGATACCATCAGGTCAGGGACAGGCACCGGCATGATGACATCAGGATGCCCAATCTGTTTGTCTTGTGTGTTCCTTAGAGTGGGTATATGGTACAAACCACTACCATTATGATTATGATCACTACTGCTTATTCACAGCTTTAAATGTGAGTAATCATTTGTTGAAAGAAACACAGAACTATGCTTTTCTCTATTCTCTTCCTCTGTTTCTTTTAATGCTTAAGCCTTAAAATAGACTTAAGTCTCATCTTTTGAAACCCAACTTTAATTTTATATTGTGCTTCTCAGTGACAGAGTAAACACAAGATTAGACTAAACTCTTTAAGAGAAATATATGTCTAGTTGTGGAACTTGCTGCTAAGACTGTCCTCAGTCTTTTGGGTCTGCAGATGAAAGATCTAGCAGATGGCCTAAAAGCAGGCTCCTTTCGCCAAGTCAAGAGTTGTATTGAACTGGTCAGTGGTACAAATTGTTATATTTTTAGGGAGAAATAGATGTGAAAATGTATGTATTTCAAATAAAATATACAGAGAAAAACAAATTCCACAGAATGCCTTTTCAGTATCTTCTAAAACCATGTAGCAATCATAAGTAAGTTGATCCATACTTTACTTGCAATAATATTTAACATTAAGAGAATAAGCAACTACATTAATATGAGAATATTTATTGTAACATATTTTTCCATTTAAGTTTTAACAAAACATGAACAAGTATACAAGGGAAGCTATATCGGAGTGCAAAGCATCTTTCATACCATTGTCAATTTGAGATTCTACCTTTATTCAATTTTGATCGTTTTGATACAAAATTTGTGCTGTTTAACAAACAAAATAGTTAAAAAAGATTTTTTTTTTCTTTTTATCGTTATGCAAACTAAATCTAGAACATGAAAGTGAAGCTACAGGGATTTTTTTCTTACTCATACTTCATCACTGATAATGACTATTCTGAAGGGCAAAAACTGTCTTAAATTACAGTATTGGCTTCCTTCTGTTTTTTGAATTCTGCTTTGGGTTTCAAGTGCAAGTCTACTGCCTTCAATGGGGCTACACAGATGTATATATCCAGGAGCATAATTTCTACACTCGGGCTGAAGAGTGAGCCTGCCACAGGAATTTAATACTGTGGATTGATGTGTTGAAAAAAAAAAATCTCTTTCCCAGAGCTCTTTGCTTCTGTAGGAGTGTAACTAGTAGAAAGTAAAAACTAGCTTATGTCAGTAAATGGATATTATCCTGAATGCACACAGGAGGAGTCAGTGTGCTGAATAAAATAGGGGCATTTTCAGTTGGAGACATTAGAGTTGCAGTTTAGGCTTTCAACTGTACATGGGTCAATAGCAGTAATTAGTTCTATTCCATTACATCTTATGCTGGTTTCCTCACCATAATACCTGAATGCATAATAGAAGTACTGCATGGTGGAATGTGATAAACATTGTGCCAGTACATTTCGTTTCCTTTTGTTATTGTCTGCTCAGCATGGTAGTGCGTGCAGTTAAAATCGCGTTGTTTTTACTTTTGCTTTTAGACATATTATTAAAGGAACCTATATGCACATTGATTTAATACACAGTTTCAATCAGACAAGCAGGCTGAAGGAACCTACTTTGCACTTGGAGATGACACAGAGGAGGCTTATAATTGTTCTTAGTCCCTCAGTTTCTGTGGGAGTTCGCAGTCTCAAGCCACCCTTCGAAAAGCTTTACTTCCCTTTCAGATGAATTTCACCCTTCTGGGGTCTGCGCCTGAAAGACACAGTTCTCAGCTATTGTCTTCATACCAGAACTTAATTAGTCTTCTGCCGCAGCTGGTTCCAGGTCATTGAAAGCCTCCAAGAAGGAGATGGGCTCTGACGCCAAACTTGATTGGAACCAGAGGCAGCTCTAGGCAGTGAGGAAATCAAGGGTAAATGCAAGCAAACGGAGTTTACCCACATTCATTGTCAGCAATATAGACTTTATCCACATCTTATTGCTTTGCTTACCCCCTTTCACCACAGGCTTTAGACTTCTGCTACTAGGCCAAAGCAAGAAGCCTCGGTGGAAAACAAATGACAGCTACACTGATAAAATTACAAATGATAAAATTACCACTCTCTCTACAGCCTGCAGCTCCTTTTTCCTTTTTGTATCTCAGTTCCTTCCCAGTTCATCTGTGATGTGTGGCAGCACCAAAGGCTAGCAACACACTGCAGTTTTTGCAAAGATCACTGCAAGCTGGCTGCCTCTCTGGCAAGGTGGAGTGTGCTGAAGGCGTGCCTGGTCAGTTGCTATGTGCTCCAGCATTTATCATGTTCACATCGGTAGGATGTCATGGCTCTGTAAAGGTTGGGTAGGGGGAGAAAAGTGGATAGAGTTAAAATATTTGACTTTACTTAAGCCTTTTTAGTATTATGTCCTGGAACCACATGGAAAACCTTGTCACGTCACTTTGAATTTAATTAAAAGTTTATTGCTTATCCAAGTTCTTGATATTTCAAAATGTTTAAGTGTTTGCTCTTCATTTAGGGCATTGCCAATATTCCCATCACTACATGCTGTAGAATATCACCCGTTCATTCATGAAAGGATTACCCTTATGATTTTAGGCTCTAGAGGTTTTTCCTTTGCTGTTCAAGTATTAACTCCCAGGTCTACTATATTCATCTATACACAGAAGTCATGATCATCACTGTAATTGCAGACATTGTGAAAATAATACATTTGGTATTTATATGAAAGCATTCTACTCAGACTTTTAAATAATATATGATTCTGATACGTAAGTAACCTGAGGCATCATTTCTCTTGGTACTTTTGTACCCCAAATTTGCACACAAAAATTACGTATGCTTGCAAAGTCTGACAGTGTTACATCTTTTCTTTCCTTGTGTTTGTGTCTGTATCATTACACTCTTGCTGAGATGTAAGAAATTTGACCAGAAAGTTATTAATTTCTTAAATAGCAGTGATACACTTAAAATCCTACGTAACACAAATAAAATCAGTAGTTACTATAAGGAGCTCAAAGTTTGTAAAATAAGTAAATAACAAACAAGGTAATCATTCCTTTCAAAAATTAAATTTTGTAGTAGTATAGTAAGGGCAATTACCTGGAATGATTTAAGGTTTGCCACCTCTACGAAAGAACTGAATTGCTCATAAATTTTTTAGAATGCGGGAGGTAAGAGCATAAGTATTAGTTCCTGAAAATAGGGCAGAATGGAAGAGGATATAAAAGAAGTTGTAGGGGAGAGAGTGTGGAGGTGTATGGCTCGGTGAGATGGAACTCAGACTCTAATCTAAATTTGCCATCATACATGTCATGACTGCAAATTATGGAATGGAGGAAGTTAATCACTACTGGAGCTCACTGGAAACAGAAGTATGCCATTCCTTTGCTGTCTAATCTCATCTACCTTAATATATATAAAACCCATAGAAGCTTACAGGTGATGTATATACTGTGTTACTGAAACATATAAATCTAAACTAAAGGCTGAGAGACTTCAGAAGATAAAATGGATTAAGATAGAGTTTAATGGCTTGTGTTTTATCTGAGTATATTCCCATTGCTACAAAAGCTAGGAGGAAGCAAGGAGGTAAAGTTGTAGGGTCCAGAGATTTAGCATCTACCATTCATGTGTGGGTTTTCAGGCAATGCAAATCCATTCTTAGGTGTTCAGGACATTGTTATCTTCTCTAGGACCTCTGCTATCAACTCCTCAAGAAGAAGACGGCTCTGGGACTGCTGTGCCAGGGGACAGTTAGCAGCTGGCTGAATGCTTTGTGAGCCTCTAAGGGTGTCTGGCTCAAATACTTGTCTGGCTGGGTCTTATGTGGGAGTATGTGACATGAGAGTGCCCATACTTTCTAGCTCAATCAGCTTGGAAAGCAAAGAAATAGTTGTTGGGACAGCTAACCCAGCATCTTTTCTTGACATATAATGGCCTTGACTTCACGGCCTCCTGGAGCTAATGAAAAAAACTTTTAGCTCTGTTTAAACAAAAGGGTTCTGAGGACTGACAGCGTTACACATTTCTGAGAGGACTGAAAATACAGACTTGTCTCTCTTAGCACTAGTGACCATATTCAGGTTTGCTACCATGCAGTAGCTAGGCATGCCGCCCTTACGGAACGCTGAAAGGTATTTAACAAACTGTGTATCGGTTAAGTACATCACTGTAAACACTTTTTATATCCAGTTTTAATATTGTATCTTTCTGTTATTAAAAGGCAAGAATCCTTTTGTGTTACCTTTTAAATCACATGAGCAAAGTAAATAAAGTGAAAATAAAGAATCAGATATAGGAGAACATATTCACATTAAAGGTATTAAATGATGTACCATTTGATATTATTTAATATTTATATTATTTGATAACAGCTATTTCCTCTACAGGAAATATGAATAAGGAGACTGATAGTAAGAGCCACTGCTCTACAGTAGAAAGCTTTCGATACAGTTTATAAATCATTATTGCATTGCTTGGGGAGCGCCAAATGCACTATATTGAAAGCCTGTAATGCATTAGAAGCCTTTCAGTTTTACGCATTTAATGTTTCTCCTTGGTCTGCTCTGATGTGGAAAATGGGAAGCACAAAATTCCACATTTGGAGTACTGTAGACTATGATTCTATTGCTTAAGGTACAATTTTATTGTTTTATTTGGAATATAGGACAAATATGCGGCAATGAAAGCCAGCAAAGTAACAACCACCCATTCAGCTATTGTGTGAAAGTTTTGGTAGAAGCATATCCACTGTTTGTGGAATATATTCATGTTGTACTGGTTAGGGAGGTCACTGTTCTTGATTCTTGGTCACTTGCATGTTTTACCTCAGCAAACAGAGATGAAAATAAAAGGAAGAGACTGAAAAAAAAACAAACTAAAGTGACTCAGTACAGGGAAAAATAATACAGAAAAACAGACCTAACAAAGAAACTTTGCTTCATACTGAATTTCTGCCATTTCAAGTTTTGATTTTTTAACCCGAAGTATTGGTCTCTTCAAAGGAGTGAAATACTTTATCTTCTTGACAGAACAAATTGAGTGGAAAATTACATAAACCCCTTAGCAGATGTTCTTTCCCACATTGTTTGGGAATTTATCCCCATTATACAGTGCTTTTAAGGCCCATGCCAAACTGAATGGGGACATTAGCAAACTTGAAGAAATATTTAGGTGAGCAATATACAAATATTCCCTCACCTCCTCTCTCTTCTTCTTCTTCAGTGCCAGTTAACTTTACCACGGTCCGCTAATATGTTGCTATCAAGAATATTTCTGTGCAGGTGCTGGGCATATTATATCTGCATTGCAAATCCAATAAATGAGAAACTATTTTTCTTCTCTGAAGCAAAAGCCAAAGTCCAGACCTCTATAAATTCAGTTTACTATAATGAATGGGTCTTGGAGTCAAAGCTGTCAGGCAACAAACAACAGGAAAAAATAAACCAATCCCCGTTTCTACTGCCTGCAACATATCTATAGCTGCAGAGAATACTAATCTGCGCAAGTCAGATGGCATCTTCAAAATTATAATGCACAACAGTGAGTTAAGCATCTGTATAACAATAAGATTTGTCATCCATCATTCAGTGAACAGCATAAGGCAACTTACTGCCATTTAATGCCAAGTGACATCTATCTAGATTGTCTGCCTGTGTAACAGATACAGTAAGTTCTGCTGTAGTCTTTGATCCGTTCCTTCCTTCCTTCCTTGTTGTCTGTTTGTTTGTTTGTTTGTTTGTTTTATTTTTATAATGCTCTGGTAAAGCTTCCATGAAATTTGTGAATGAAAACAATGGTAAGTTCTAAAACTAATGTTTAATGAAAAGCTATTCAATAAATATCCATTAGCCAAGTTTAATAGCAGATGTTTTGAATTGCACCAATGAAAGTCCCAGCAGAATAGGAAGGGTAAGCCCAAGCAATAATTTATACAAGAGAAGTATGGAGAAATGTGGATTCCTTCTACAATAGATAAATGCTGTTTGTGATGCTTCCAGTAACAGGCCTAAAGGAGATGATTTTGGAAATGAAATATTACTGCACTAACTGATGGCTACTCTGAAATGATTCCTGAAATACTTTCTTGATGCGGTGACATTACCAGCAGCTGATGGAAAAACAATAATACTATTGCATAAAAAGGATATTTTCCGTACTATCTGTATCAGTCTAGAGCGAAAGAAATAAATATTGACTTAATTCACTGTAAGTAAGAGCAGTGATGACGATCTTAACTTAGCATTATTAGAGAGAAACACAAAAAGGTATATAACATGTTAAAATGGATAACAAACTTGTAAACCTTTATGTTCAAAGATCTCAGAGGTCACTTTGGTTGCTACTCTCAGTTTTGTCAGCCTAACTGTATGTGTGATTATTCTCTAGCACAATCTAGTTCAAGTGAGTGGTATTAATAAGCGTTTGCTATTTACACTATGGCTTCACAGAGCTAATCCATAAGTGGTGTACGCAGTATAAGAGGTTTCCATTTTCCCTTTCCTTTGCTGCACCCACTCAGCCCTGAAGACTGCTGGCCCTTCTGCCGCTCTGATTCAACTTTTTGCGTGGCCAGTTACCTCCCGGAGGAAAACCTTCTGGAGGCTGGATACATGGTTAAGTGCTTAGCAGTCACAGATCCAGTTAAAACAGGACGTGTGAACACAGATAAACCCTTTTTAGCAGCCACACACTCAAAGCAGTAGCAAAGTACCTGGCAATCTGGAAGTTCCAGATCGTTGTCAGAACAGGTCTCTTGGTTTAAGAGAGTGTGAAAGAATAAGGAGGAAATGGTAAGCTTTCACTATAATCCCCATCACCACCCATACAGCTAATGAAGCCAAAAGTAAAAATGTTTGTTTGAAAAACTTAAAAAAGAAAAGAAATCGTGGTACGAGTTTACTGAGACCTCACACAGAGCTTTATTAACGGAATAGAGACTGGTTACAGACAAATTCAGATGTGACAGCAGTCTTTTTGCTAGCAGAAATTAATCACTGTACTTAACTTCTTTTTATGACCCTTGTATCAGAATGAATACAAGCAAAAGTAGAGACAAGTCGCAACATTTTCAAAAGTGTTGAAGTCTTGCTTTCAAAAGTGACCCAGACCCAGATATGGGAAATCATTTAGGATATATTTTCACTTCATTTGGCAAAGCCTAGGTGATTTAAAGGCTAAAGGCTTTCCCATTTGTACACCTAAGTTAGATCCACAAAAAGACTTGTGCTCAAGACTACTGCTCCTTTAGCTTTGCTAGTTCAGCTGTCTTTCTCACTCTAAACTGAGTACCCACTTGAGTTTGGTACTAGGGTCACTACAAAACAT